AATGCAGGTACAACAATGGCCTCAGCTAATCGCATGGGGAGCTCTGGAGCTGGGACAGCCCTTAGGGTTGTTCTGAATTGGCCAAGACAGCCAGGCCTTGGTGCCCACGCATCAACCACATACTGGACTCAGGCTACCCCTGGAGAAGGAGCAGGACCTTGGCAAGGCATCTGCCTTTGACTGAGAGCAAGTCCTGCTGGTACCCAGCTATTCAATATCAGCAGCCAGAGCTCTTGGCAACTGGAAACGTGAATACCTCAGTCTGAGGGGGAGACCTGGGCAGCATCCACTGCCTGCCCATCTCCAGGTCCTTTCTTATTCCTTGTCCCTCAGATGAGAAGAACCAGCCCTTCCCCACAAGGAGGTTATGGAAACATGGACTCGTGTTCTTTGTGGAGCTGACAGGCCAGGGGATGCTGGGTGGCTGCATCAGTGCTAATGAGGCCATCAGTGCTAATGAGGAAGGAGAGAGTGAGTAGCTGCTCTAGAAAAGTTGAAAAACATGACCTATTAAAAGCCTACAGGGACAGAATGGGAGAAAATACTTGCAAATCATGTATCTGATAAGGACTTACTAAATAGAATGTATAAAGAAACCCTACACCACCAAAAATGGCAAACCACCCAATTAAAAATGAATAAAGAGCCCGAGCTGGTTTAGCTCAGTGTATAGAGCATCAGCCTGCAGACAGAAGGGTCCCAGGTTCGAGTCCGGTTGAGGGCAGGAACCTCGGTCGCCTGGGCCCTGATCAGGGTGCATGCAGGAGGCAACCAATCAATGTGTTTCTCTCACATCAATATTTCTTTCTGTTTTCCCTCTCTCTTCCACTCTCTCTAACAATCAATGGAAAAAATATCCTAGGGTGAGGATTAAAAAAATAAAAAATAATATAATTTTTTAATGATAAAGGACTTAATATACATTTTTCCAAAGGAGGTATACAAATGGCCAAAAGCCCATGAAAAGATGCTGAATATCAATAATTATCAGGTAAATGCAAATCAAAACCAGTCCATACCTACTAAAACGGATATATTTTAAAAAGGAAAGGACAGTGTTGGGTCCAGCCGGTGTTGCTCAGTGGTTGAGTGTTGACCATGAACTAAGAGGACACAGTTTGATTCCCAGTCAGAGCACGTACCCAGGTTGCAGGCTTGATCCCCTGTAGGGTACATGCAGGAGGCTGTTGATTAATGATTCTCTCTCATCATTGATGTTTGTATCTCTCTCTCCCTCTCTTTCCTCTCTTTCTAAAATCAATAAGAACATATTCCAAACAACAATAAGTATTAGTGAGTATGTGGAGAAATTGGAACCCCACACATTGCTCGTGGGATATAAAATGGCACAGCCACTGTGGAAAACAGTTTGGTAGTTCCTCAAAAAATTAAACACAGAATTACCGTATGACCCAGCAATTCTACCCCAATGAATATACCCAAAGGAATCAAAAGCAGAGACTCACACAGATACTTGTATGCTTTGTTCATTATAGCATTACTCATAAACCAAAAGGTGGAAACAAACCAAATGCCCATCAGTAGATGAATGGACAAACAAAATGTGGCATATACACTGAGTGGCCAGATTATAATAATCTCTGAATGCATAATAATCTGATCACTTGGTGTATATCCTATATAATAAAAGGCTAATTTGCAAATTGTCCCCTAGACCAGGAGTTTGACCAGCAGGCAAGGCCGACCAGCCACCCATGTTCCTTCCCCCTGGCCAGGCTGGTTGGACCCCACCTATGCACGAATTTATGCACCAGGCCTTTAATACACACACACACACACACACACACACACAGAGTGGCCAGATTATGCATTAGAGATCATAATAACCTGACCATTCAGTGTACATATTATGGAATATTATTGAACCATAAAAAGGAATAGGTTTCTGATATAGATATGCTACAACATGGATGAATCTTGAACACAGTGTGCTTAGTGAAATAAGCCAGATACAAGTGTTCCTGGCCCGGTAACTCAGTTGATTAGAGCGTCATCCGATACGCCAAGATTGCGGATTCGATCCCCAATCAGGGCACATACAAGAAGAAACCAGTGAATACATACATAAGTGGAACAACAAATTCCCCTCTCTCTAAATAAATTAATTAATTTTTAAAAAGAAAAATAGTTTTTTAAACAAAAGGACAAGTGTTACATGATTCCACTTACGTGATATCTAGACTGGGCAAATTAATTGAGATAGAAGGTAGATTAGAAATCACCGGGGACTCGGGGAGGGCAGAGAGTAAGGAGTTGTTGCTTAATGGCTATAAAGTTTCTCCTTGGCTGACGAACAAAGTTTGGACATTGGTAATAGTGGTGAATGTAATTGATGCTGCTGAACTGTGCACTTGGTTAAAATGGCGACTTTTGTGTTCTGTATTTTATCACAATAAAAATAAGGCCCATGGGAAATAGGTGAATCCATAGAAACAGAAAGCAGACTGGTGGTTGCCAGGGGCTGGAAGGAGGAGGATTCAGGGAGTAATTGTTTCCTTGGCATAGTGTTTTCTTTTGGGGATCAGAACATGTTTTAGAACTAGACACACAGCACTGTGGATGTACTAAATGTCACTGAGTGCACACTTTAATATGCTATGTGAATTCACCTTAATTCTTTTTTAAGGGAGGAAAAATCTGGGGGGAAATGAACTCTGTGAGATGCAGCCAAATGGGTACTTGCCTTTCCAATGACACATTTGTTAGGTGTAAGAAAGTCAGACAATAAGTGAATTAAGCCGAAACCGGTTTGGCTCAGTGGTAGAGCGTTGGTCTGTGGACTGAAAGGTCCCAGGTTCAATTCCGGTCAAGGGCATGTACATTGGTTGCGGGCACATCCCTGGTAGGCGGTGTGCAAGAGGCAGCTGGTCGATGTTTCTCTCTCATCGACGTTTCTAGCTCTCTATCCCTCTCTCCTCCTCTCTGTAAAAAAATCAATAAAAGATATTTTTAAAAAATAAAAAATAAAAAAATAAAAAAAAATAAGTGAATTAAGTTTCTAACTCAAAAGATGAACAGGTATTGGAGAAAAGAAAGGATCTGGAACCCAGTGTGGGAGTGACAGAAGCAGAGCACACAGGGAGGGGATGCCATCAGGAAGCATAACCAAGGCAGAATCACTGTCACTCACGGATGGTCCTAGTTGGGGTTCTCCAGACGCATGCCCAAGACCAGGATTCAAGTGCAAGTACTTCCTTTAGGAGTAGACAGCTCGGTGTGGGAGAGGAATGTAAGGAAGGGAAGGAGAGGCAGCCAATGAAAGGAGCATTACCGGCCTTGGCCAGGTGGCTCAGGGCGCATTCCTGAGTTGCAGACTCAGTTCCCAGTTGGTTGGAGCATCATCCCATACACCAAAAGGTTGCAGGTTCGATTCCTGGTCAGGGCACATATCTAGGTTTCAGGTTTGATCTCCGGTTGGAGTGCACACAGCAGGCAAACAATTGATTTTTCTCTCACATTGATGTTTCCCCCTCTCTCTCCCTTCCTCTCTCTCTAAAAATCAATTTTTAAAAATCCTCAGGTGAGGATTAAAAAAAAAAAAGGGGGGGGGAGGGGGGAGCATTATCAAGCAATTGACCACTGTGGGCAGCTGGAGCTCAGCCCCACTGGGCAGCTCCAGGAGGCAGTTGTCCCACCTGAGGGGTGGGGGAGCTTGGGTATTTGTACACCAGCTCCCCCAGAGTCACTGGTTGAGAGCTATAGTCAGGTGGGGGATTGTCATTCTCTGCAGGCCATGGCCACCTGTGAACAGAGCAGGCTCTAGCTGCCAGAGGAAGCCCCCAATCCCCTCAGGGATGCAGATGCTGACAGTTGGAGATCAGCCTGTTGGGCACCACAGTGATGAGAACACAGGAGTCATGGGTGGGCCACCCACAGCCACTGCTGTAGTGACCAACTGGACATGAGGCCAGAATCAGTTGGATTCTTGTTGAAAGATACAGAAATCCAATTCAAACTCAAGCAGAACATCTCTTGACTTTCACATTGGAAACATCAGGCAAGATCTTGACAGAGGACTCCAGGCTGACACTCTTCCAACCATAGCAGCCCTACAGAAAGAAGGGCACCTCTTTTCCAAAAGTTCATCAAGTAATCCCAGGGCCAATTCCTATTGGTTAATGAGGATCCATTTCCATCTCTGAGCCAGTCAGTACACAGGGACACACAGGGCTCTGATTGGTCAGGCCTAGTCAAGTGTCTACCCCTGGGGTTCTGATAGGCCTGGCTCCACCTAAACCACAGGAACTGCAACTGAGGTAGAATTATTCTCCAGGTATAGTGTGCACTGTTACTAGGGGAAGGACATAGAAGGTCAGGATAGGGGAGATTCAAGGAGATGCTCAGGTGTCTGGCTTGAGTCCCCAGTGAGTAACTGAAGGGTTTTACTGATGGGAGGACACTGTGGGGTAGCCCAAAGCCCTTGGATGCAGCAGCATTTAAGGTGGAATAGAAGGATAGAGATACAGGGCTGCAGAAGCCAGAGGAAGAGACTCCTTAACAACAAGAGCCCAGTCAGGGGAGGAAAGCAGTTGGGATGTCACTTGTGGTTATTAGAATATCTAGTTGGTCTCTGGAGGTCTCCCTCTCCTCCTACAATCCTCCAAGGCAGGTATAGGAACCAAGGTACCTGTGTAACTCCTTCCCCCACAAGCCAAGCAAGGGGCTCACCGGTCAAGACCACCAGGACCAGAGCAGGGTTTGTCTCCCAGGGAACAGGTTCCTGCAAGCACTTCCCCACACCTTCCATCCCTTCCTCCTCCTGGCCCCCATTTGGCAGACTCTCAGTCTGAGGCTGGCGGAGGTGGCCAGGGGCCCAGGCTCATACTTACGTGGTCCTCCTAGAGCAACCTTCCCAACACCCTATCCCTTCCAAATCCAGCTGACCCCTTTCTGTCTTCTCTCCCCAGGACAGCTGCTGCCCGGGAGAGGCGCCCCGGGCACCCCGCTAGGGTGACGGCCCTGCCCCGAGGGCCGAGATCATGAAAGGCCTGGGTGACAACCGCCCCCGCCACCTCTCCGACAGCCTGGACCCGCAGCACGAGCCCCTGTTCGCAGGGCCCGACCGCAACCCCTACCTGCTGTCGCCCACGGAGGCCTTTGCCCGAGAGGCCCGCTTCCCCGGGCAGAATGCTTTGCCAGGGGACAGTCTCTTCCCTCTCAACAACCAGCTGCCACCACCGAGCAGTACCTTCCCCCGCATCCACTATAACTCCCACTTCGAGGTGCCGGAAGAGAGCCCCTTCCCCAGCCACGCCCAGGCCACCAAGATCAACCGGCTGCCCGCCAACCTCCTGGACCAGTTTGAGAAGCAGCTGCCCATCCACCGAGATGGCTTCAGCACGCTCCAGTTCCCCCGCGGCGAGGCCAAGGCCCGGGGCGAGAGTCCCGGTCGCATCCGCCACCTGGTCCACTCGGTCCAGAGGCTCTTCTTCACCAAGGCACCCTCGATGGAGGGCACGGCAGGCAAGATGGGTGCCAACGGCGGCAAGAAAGGTGGCCTGGAGGACAAGGGCCGGAGGGCCAAGAGCAAGGAGCGGGCCAAGGCCGGGGAGCCCAAACGGCGCAGCCGCTCCAACATCTCGGGCTGGTGGAGCTCCGACGACAACTTGGACGGTGAGGGCGGCGCCTTCCGCGGCAGCGGGCCGGCCTCCGGGCTGATGACGCTGGGCCGCCAGGCGGAACGCAGCCAGCCCCGTTACTTCATGCACGCCTACAACACCATCAGCGGGCACATGCTCAAAGCCGCCAAGAACAATACCACGGAGCTGACCGCCCCGCCGCCCCCGTCCGCGCCCCCGGCCTCCTGCCCCAGCCTTGGCGTGGGCACCGACACCAACTATGTCAAGCGGGGCTCCTGGTCCACGCTGACCCTCAGCCACGCCCACGAGGTGTGCCAGAAGACCTCAGCCACCTTGGACAAGAGCCTGCTCAAGTCCAAATCCTGCCACCAGGGTCTAGCCTACCACTACCTGCAGGTGAGTCCCTTCAAGGGTCAGCGTGGGGGAGGGATGCGAGGCAGGCACAGTGGTGAGGCACAACTGGGTCACAGCGTCACTTGGAAAGTTGTTTCAGTCAGGCCTCTGTAATCCCCTGGAAAACGGGCGGCCCGTGGTACCTGCTCGTAAGGGGATTCCTTCCACTGGCCATGCTCTCAGCAGATGATGAGGAGGTCCCTTCTGAGATCAGCCCTGAGTAGAGACTAGAAACGTCCCTGCCCTGAAGAAGACATACCTGGAAGCTGTGCCTTCTACCCACTTCATAGGAGCCATTGCACGGTGTTCTAATTCCTGGCCTCCTGCTTGCTACTCCCACCGGACTGGGGGCTCCTGGAGGACAGGGACCAGATGTGGTGCAGCTGTATGTCCCCAAGGCCCGAGACAGGGTTTGGCATAGAGGAAGTTCTTGGGAAATGTGAAAGGGAGAGGGGTAGATGAACAGATAGACACTGAAATGAACAGAGCTAGAAATAAATAAGACATAGCCCCAATTGTCAGGATGCTCAGAGAAAGAGACATGAACAGTCATGTCAATGTGAGCAGGATGTTCTGGGGAGAAGCATGGAGAGCTACAGGGGTGCAGAGGCCCTAACACAGTTTGGGGGACTAGCTTTATTCTCTCAAACGCGAATGTTTGTTGAGACGCTTGTGCACCAGCACCACACTCAGGGAAAGTGGCAGAAAGCTCAGACATTTCCGCTGCCACACATCCTCCAGGTTTCTCAAGGGCAAGGAGATGGCAGAGCCCAAGGTGTGGGTGGAAGTTAGAAGAAGCAGGTTTTAAGTGCATGTCAAGATGGGCTGCTTCTGTAGGTAATGAGCTGGCATACCTGGAGGGATGAAGTGGGGGAAAAGGGGGCAGAATGCCAGTGCAGGCCTGGCCAGGCTTTGGGAATACATTAGATGCATTTTGAACCAATGAACATCAAAGTCTGACAAAGCCCTGAGTTCTTGTCATTCCATATAAAATTCCAAAGATAGTGAGACTAAGGGGGAGAAAGACTATTTTTTTTAATAGGGGAGAAAATGAAATCTAGGTAGTACTTTATATATTTAAGGCTTTTATGGCTCTCAATCCACTTCCTAGTTTAGAAATATAAGTAAGAGTATGGGTGACCTGGCTCCCTCTCAGAATGGTATGGTTGGTCTGATCATGTGAAAATGTTTCCAGAACACTTGAGGCTGTGCTGCCTGCCTGCATAAAGGGAGGGAGGTGGGTGGGGGCTATGGTTACAACACATTTTGAGCAGAAATACACAAGGCCATGTTCCCAGGGGCAGATAGAGGTAGGGAGGCTGGACTAGCAAATGGTTTGGGGATAAAATGTACAGGCTCTCGTGACTATCTGATCTGGGTAGTCAGCTGGGGAATGAGGTTTGAGAAGGCTGAAGGGGGCCCGTAGGGTGGGAGTCCCAGACAGGGACCGTCTCTCCCTCAGCTGGGAATTGGCCACTGGCAATGTGGCGTTTATGGTGTGTGTGCAGCCATGCAGGTTTGGGGAGGGTGCATTTGTGTACCTAGTGAAGAATGGATATGTAGAAATATGTACCTGGGCATCCATGGTGAAGTATAGACCTTGTGTTGAGGAAAAGATATGGTGATCTGGGCACACGTTGAGATGTGGCCATGGTGCAATGGTGGCAAGCATATAGTGAGGTGAGCGTGCTCCAGGTTCACGTTGTATACATGTTGAGGGGTGTACACATGATGTGGGGGCTACTGGGGTGCATCCTTGGTGAGGTGGGTGTGTATGGGAAAGTATGCTTGCTCTCAGGTATGTACCAGAACAAGGCCTCGTTACTCTGTGCTGGCACAGAGGTGCATGTAAGTGCTGAGATATGCATCCTCATTCACCACGAGGTGAACATCCACTGCATGTACATGTGTGTATTAGATGAACGAGGGGTGCAGGCTGCGGGTGCAGCCCTGGAGCAGAGCCTGGCCTTAGCAGGACAGCGGGGTCCCCTCTGTTGGTTTCTGCCACTGTAACCACTGTGGACTAAGGCTGCCTCACAACTGTGATCTCACTTGCCCTTATCACAACGCCCTTCCACAGGTGGGATCCCCGAGGTTCAGCAGGTAAAACGGAGCCCCTTTTTTAGCTTATGGAACAAGCGGCAGCTCCAGCTTGGAAGCCAGCTCTGCGTACCTCAGTTTACCGACCTGTGGGATGAGGGATTGTGATTGGCTTGGAGGATGCAACCCCCATCCTGATATACCATCCTTCTCTTCCATCCTGGGGCCAGGCTCTTGGTGTGGGGTTTGGGGACCTCTCTCAGGCCTGCTGTTCTCATCGGTGCAGTGGGATCAAAAGCCACCCTCTGAGACAGCAGGGGAGGTGATGGGAACACTGGCTCCTGGGAAAGGTAGCCTGGGAGGCGGAGGCCTTTGTGAGCATACATCCTGGGCGGTTTTGCTGGGGCACCAGGCCTGGATCCATGGAGAAATCTGAGGCCGTAGATGGACGCCCATCGAGAAGCTGTGGCAGAGCCGCCTGGGAACCCAGCTTTCCTTCCCAGCCCGGGGCTGCTCCAGTGGCAGTGCCCAGCACCAAAGGCTGACCTCTCCGCGGTGGGGGCCGGGGCTGAGCGTGTGCTGAGGCCTCTCCTCCCGTCCCCAGGTGCCCGGCGGGGGCGGCGAGTGGAGCACCGCCCTGCTGTCCCCGCACGACGCGGACACCGCGGCGGAGGGCCACATCCCCTGCCGGCGCATGCGCAGCGGCAGCTACATCAAGGCCATGGGCGACGAGGACAGCGACGACTCCGGCGGCAGCCCCAAGCCCTCGCCCAAGACGGCGGCGCGGCGCCAGAGCTACCTGCGGGCCACGCAGCAGTCGCTGGGAGAGCAGAGTAACCCGCGCAGGTGACCCCCCCTAGAGCCCCGCCCCAGGCCGGCCCCGCCCCCAAGCCCCGAGGCCCCGCCCCTGGCCCCGAGGCCCCGCCCCTAGGAAGCCTCTGGTCCGGAGATCTCTGCTCTCACCCGAGCCCCGGCCCGGGAAGCCCCACCCACAGGTTAACCCGGCTTCACTGGAGCTCCGCCCCTTCAGGTGAGCCCAGCCTGCACGAGAACTCTCCCTCTGGGGAGGCCTCCTCACGCTTCCTACCAGCCCCGCGCGCAGGCAAGCCTGACCACCTAGGTGAGCCCCTCAGTTATGCCCCATCCCTGGGAACCTCTCCTTCCTCCCTTTCGGCTGCCCCCAGAGAGCCCAACCCTACAGGTGAATCCTGCCTCAGATCCAGGTGAGCCCGAGCTCACAAGGATGCAAGCCCCCTAGACCCGTGGTCGGCAAACTCATTAGTCAACAGAGCCAAATATCAACAGTACAACGATTGAAATTTCTTTGGAGAGCCGAAAACCGACTTCTGCGCACGGGCCATGAAGTTTCAATCGCACTGTATGTGCGCGCCCGCACGTGGTATTTTGTGGAAGAGCCACACTCAAGGGGCCAAAGAGCCGCATGTGGCTCGCAAGCTGCAGTTTTGCCGACCACTGCCCTAGGTGTACCCGCCTTCACATTAGCTTCCTTCCTGAGATGCCCATCCTTAGGTTGGCCCTTGCATTCTGATGAGTTGACTTTGTAAAGTCTTCCCTCCCCCAATTTGGTGAACCATCTCATACCACCTCCCTTCCCACCTCCCCCCACCTCCACCCCCAGTTAAGTTCTGGCCTTAGGTGAGCCTCATCCTTTGATAAACCAGGAAAGCCTCTCTAGAGTGACTGGCCCAGGTAAACCCTGCCCTTAGGAGTCCCATCCCCAGGTGAATTCCACTCTCACAGAGGACTGCCCCGGGAACACTTGACTTCCAGTTAGGTCCTAACCGTTAAGAGAACCAAGCTCTCCACTTATGTTAGCACTGCCCAGGAAAGGTCAGAGGCCCCTCTGCCCATCCCTCTGTAATTGACCCCTGGAGTGAGCTCCAAGATCGGGAAGGAGGGAGGACTCAGAAGTCAAAGAGAGACAGACAGCCTATACCTGTCCCATTACCCATCTGCAGTTCCACTATTCAAGACTTATCCTGTTGCTTTAAGTCTTAAAGTTTAAAGCTTGGAAGAGTTAGTGAAAATGTGAGCAAATGAAACATGCACACAGAAAGCAGCAATTGAAACGTTACAGAGAGAGGTGCGGCTTTCACATGCAGAAATCGCCATGGGGATTAGGACAGAAAAGAATGAGAGGCAAGTTATGGAAAATCTGTCGAATAAGTACAAAACAGGTGAAACTCGGTATAGGCCTTACGGGGGATTCCAAGTCCACGGAGGAAGAAAAACAAAAGCAAGTCAGAAACAAACAAAAGAGAGACTTGGAAGAGTTAAAGAAAACAAGCTTAGTCCTAGTTCCCTACTGGGGGCATGAACCGAGGCTTCGTGGAGGAGATAGTTTGGGAGGACTGGTGACAGCGGGACTGAGGCAGTGAGGGGAGAAGCCAGGGACAGAAGGCAGGGAATGGTCTGCTGGAGGGGATTCAGGACACTACTGGCCAGTCCCAGGTCAGTCCCTCTCTGAGCCTCATTTTCCCCACCTTTAACTGAGAGGGCTGAGCTAGATGATCTCTATGACCTCTTTTGGGCCTGAGACCCCACAATCCTATGAGTGACCAATGGCCATTGATGTTGGAGAGGTGGTTAGGACCAGGGCAGAGGCCTTGAATAAGAGGAAATCAATAATGGTAGCAGTAATAGTACTGAGGACCATCAGTTAGCACTTGCTGTGCTCTGGGGTCTACTTGCCCTGTGCGCTATAACCTGCATCACTGAATCCTTCTGTCAGCCCCTGCAGGCAGGCAGTGTCATTCCCACTTAATAGGTGAGGAAACTGACGCTTAAACAAGGGTGATGACTGTCCAGGGGCACTCAGTGAGGAAGCTGGACTCTAATCCAAGTCCGTCTTTATCAAGAGCCTGAGCTGTTGGCTGCTTGGACCTTATCCCCAGAGCAGTGAGAGAGTTGGAGGGGGCAGGGCCTGCAGGGACAGGTAGATGTGAGAAAGACTGAAGAACAGGGGCCATGGAGAGGATTGGTGAGACTCAGTGACCTGGTGGAGGCCACCTGAACACCCCGCTAAAACTGATTCCTTTGGGCAGCCCTAGTCTGAGGTCAATGCAGTGGGTCTTGACCCACCTCCTCTGTCCAGCCCCTGGAATTGCTCCAGACCCCCACCCAGGTAGGGGACTGTAGAATTGAGCTGGTGTGAGTCAACTCAGATTTGAAACAGTCAAAAGCAAGCTTATGCTGCCACCTCATGGCTGCAGCGGACATGACAAGTGTGTACCTCCTGCACCTTCCAGCCTCACAAGGCCTCCAAATGCTAGGAGTGCTCCCCTTGCTCACTGCGCAACCATACCATCACCACCACCACCACCACCATTACTTGGGTTGGCAGAGACCTCCATCTTTCTCTCTGCCACTCAATGACCTTGGCTAGTCTTTCCCCCTCTGAGCTTCAGTTTCCCAGGCTGAACAGTGGGAGAGCTGAGCCCTGTCTGCTCCCCACCCCCACCAGGAGTCTGGACCGCCTGGATTCCGTGGACATGCTGCTGCCCTCCAAGTGTCCGAGCTGGGAGGAAGACTACAACCCCATCAGCGACAGCCTCAACGACTCCAGCTGCATCAGCCAGGTGAGAGTGGTGGGCAGCCGGGACAGTGTGCTTGGCAAACAGAGCCCACCTCTCACCTAGGGGGACACACATCAAGGCCCACCCCCTGTTGAGTGGTAGTCTGCATTGTGCTTCTGTTTAGTCTGTTCTCGAAGCCACCTGTGTGTCTGTCCCGCTGACTGTCCTGTGGCTGGCGAGCAGTCACGGGGCCTGACATTGCCTGGCCTACGCTGTGGGGCCTGAGGGAGGGCCCACACGATGGCTGTAGACCCAGGAGCCCTGAGGTCAGGGAACTGGAGAGCTAGGTTTGGGTCCCAGTCTTGTCACTGACCATAGGAACTCAGAACAAGTCGCTTCCTCCCAGAGCCTGTTCCTTGATTTACCACAAGAGGGTGGTAATTTCTATTTCGAAGGATTCAGTGAAATAATGAACATAAAGTGCTCAGCAAAGGGTAGCTACCTTTATGGTCTTATCGCTATCTTGCTGTGTGACTTCACACAAGTTGCTTCTCCACTCTGGACCTCTAACAGCAATAAGCATACGGTGCTGCACTTTTAATTCTCAGCTCCTCGAACCCTTTCAGCCACCCCCAGAGCGGGCATTATTATTCATCTCCTCATTTCAAAGATGAGGATGCTGAGGCTCAGAGAGGTGAGGTCACACAGCTAGGAGGAGGCAAAGCTGGGTAGGAATCCAGAGCTGTCAGACCCACCTCTGGATCCCAGCCCCTGCTAGGTGTTCAGTACTTTAGAGTTTGCAAAGGTGGGACTAGCCTGAAGGCTTCCCCCATGGAGTGGACTTGGAGACAAGGCCCAGAGAGAGCACACCCCGGCCAATAGTGGCCCAGCAAGGCAGCGAGGGCAGCCAGATGCAGGCGGAGCCTTCTCTCTGTGTGCAGTGCCATGGCCCAGGCTAATGGACTGCTTAGAATCAGAAGGCTTTGGAACCCCCAACTCCTCAACACTCCACTATTCCTAGCCTGGCCAAATCTTTCCCAGGCCCCCAACCTCAGCACTGTCATTCCCAGACTCCAAGGAGACTGACCTCAGGTGTGCTGAGAGGTACAGCATCCCAGACACGGGACCCTCTGCCACCCTCATTCTGGCCCCACCAAGTCTCACTTGAACAGTTGTCCTGGCCTCCATACTTGCCATCTGCAGTGTGGTCTCAGTAGCCAGAGAGAGCTTTTAAAAGACTTAAGTCAGGCCCTAGCCAGGTAACTCAGTTAAAATGCCATCCCTATATGCCATGGTTTGGGGTTCAATCCCCAGTAAGGGCACATTCAACAGTTAACCTATGACTGTATCAAGAAGTAGAACAACAAATTGATATTTCTCTCTCTCTCTCTCTCTCTAAATCAATAATTTTTTAAAAATACATATACAGTGGCCTGGCCACCGTGGCTTAGTGGTTGAGCATTGACCTATGAACCAGGATATCAAAATTCGATTCCCAGTCAGGGCACATGCCCAGGTTGTGGGCTCAATCCCCAGTATGGGGCATGCAGGAGGCAGCCAATCAATGATTCTCTTTTATTGATAGTTTTATCTTTCTCTCCCTCTCTGAAATCAATAAAAATAAAGAAAGAAAGAAATATGCAGTGAAAGTCTAAAGTCAGATCACACCATACCCCTGCTCAAACCCTCTCATGGCTCCCACCACACCCAGGTGAGAGCCAGAGTCTTTACTGGGTCCTGTGAGGCCCTGCCTCCCTCTGGAACATGATCTCAATTTGCCCTGTCACTCACTCTGCTCCGTCCACACCGGCCTCCTCTCTGCTCCTTACACGTCTTATCCCTGCTCAGGTCACGGCACTTGCTGATCTCTTTCCCAGGAGCACTCTCCTCGCAAATCTTGGCTCAAATGTCACCTCCTCGCGGGGCCTGCCCTCTTGTGTAAAGTAGCTGCCCTCTTGTGTAAAGTGCTTTGTTTTCTTGGCAGCACTTATCACTATCTAGAATTACATTGTTTACTTATTTACTTAATAATATCTGTCTCACTCTTAAGACTGAGAGCTTCCTACAGGTGAGGACCTTGCTGTCATGTTCCCCACAGTGTCCCCAGGACAGGGCGCAGGGCATGCAGGTCTGTGCTGGATGGACAGCTTCCCTCCCTGTCTTTCCCATCCTATCAAATTCTGTTCTCTCAGCTCTCAGTCTTCCTGTCTCCCTGTTTTTCTCTCGCCTCATTCACATTTTTCTCTGACTCTAGTGTGCCTCATTTTCATGTTTCTCTCTGGGTCGGCCTGTCTCTCTCTCACATCCATCTTCATCCCCTGCCTGGCCCTGGCACTTGGAATACTTTTGTCCTTTGGCTACACAAAAAGGCACAAGATATTAGGCAGGCTTGGGAACCCTAGCAGGTCTCTCCTATTACCCCCTGTCTAGCCCCAGTTTTGTCCTAGCCCAGGATCCTCTGAACCCCCAAAGCTCCACCCCAGAAGCTTGAGCGACCTGAGCCAAAGTCAGAGATTTTCCAGTTCTAGCTGTGTCTCTGCAGCCTTGATTCCTGTCCCAGAGAGCTTGTCCCACCAGGCATTGACTGTGCAGGCCCTGACCAGGGAAGAGAAGGCTCTGGGCTCTGTCTCTAAACTGTAGATCCTGGGGGCTGCCTGCCAGGTAAGAGGCAGCAGACAGGGCATCCATGGTGCCAGGGGCCAGACCAAGAGAAAGATGTGTAAACAGCACAGTACAAATCCCCTGGAGTGAGCTTCCCATCCCAGGGAGAAGCCAAGTAAGACCTCCTAGCACCTGGGCTTCAGCCAGTCTGAGGAGGAGGTCAGACCACAAGTTCTTTGCAGCTGAGCCTGAACAACCAACCCCAGCCCCAGCCTTGGTCTCCCCATAACTCTCCTCTTCTCTTTCTGCAGATTTTTGGACAGGGCTCCCTGATCCCCCAGTTGTTTGGCCATGAGCAGCAGGTCAGTATATTTACCATTTTTTCATACCCCAACCCCAGAATCCAGAGCTGGGTCTTAGGCCTGGCACCTGGGTGGTCCTAGCTCCCAGCCTGGACAGGAAAAAGCAGAGTCCGCACCAGGAAAGCCACCTCCAATGAAGGTGGAGCCTAGGCTCATGTTGGCACCTTGACCTTCCGCTCCTTGGCCCTATCGCTTCACTTCTCTGTGCCTGTTTCTTCCTCCCCAAAATGGGAAAGAATGGGTGAGGTTCTGAGATAGGCTAAGAAATAACCCCGGATGAGGGAAAGCATTCCCTGAGAGCCTTCTGGCTTCTGCCCTCCTCACCTCTCCCAACAGTGGGGAGAAGCCTGGACAGACTGCTTCATTCGGACAGGCTGGGGGCTGGTGGTATTGACCTCAGCCCTGAGATCCCCTAACTTTTCTCCTTTTTGGGCCTTTAAAGATGTTGGGATGTAACCAACACTTACAAATCCTTGCACTCACCCCACAGAGCTTCCTATGATACTAGATACGGGTTAGCGGGTGTTTACTCTCCCAGACACTATTCTAAATTCGTGACATGAATTATATCACTTAATCTTGATAATAATCCTATGAAATTTGGTCTATAACTGGCCCCCATGTTATACCCTTGGTTTTAGCCAAAAGGCTGAAAGCAGTATTAGCCTCCATTTTATAGATGGGGAGACTGAAGCACAGGACAGTTAAATGAGTTGCCCGCATTCACATTGTGAGGACATTATGAACCAGGGGTTGAAACCCTGGCAGTCCAGTTCCAGAGCTGAGCCGTTACTGTGAAATCCCAGAGCAAGGCCTCATTGCCCTTGGCAGTATATGTCAGGTGGCAGCGTTGGAAGATAAACACCTATCTCTCTAACAGCCCCTGCATTTTGACTATGCCATGCTGCCTTTTCATTACCAGCACTATCCAATAGAACTTTCTGCAATGATAGAATTGTTCTGTAATCCATGCTGTCCAGTAAGGTAGCATGAGCAAGTGAAATGTGAATAAGGAAATGACTTTTTTTATTTAATTTTAATTAATTTAAACCTAACTAGCCACACATGGTTACTACTGTAACAGCTTTAGACCCTATCAAACATATGCTTCCCATTGGGCGATGTCATTTTACTCGATGCAGTCAGATGAGTACACAGACATTTCATTTCATTTAGATGGAGAAACCCTGATCCAGAGGATAGGGATGGCCTGAGATCACACAGCCCAGTCCAGAGCAGAGCTGGCCCGGGCCCACCCAGCTCCGTCCTTCCCTTCACATGCTGCTCCGTCATGGGCTTCCCTCCCCTGTAGCCCCTACCTCCCCCAGGACCTCCATCCAGTGTCCCTTTTTGGCCGGCTGTCTCCTCAGCTTATATTCTGTGATCCCCAGTCACCAACATGACCCCAAACACGAGTCAGGCAGACCCTTCTAGAACGCATGGAAAGAGTATGTATGGAGAGGACCCTCTGTGCTCACACCTCCAGCTGCAGATTTGTAGGATCTTCCATTAGTCATCTTTGGAGGAACACTGAGAAGCCATCTAGATGAGCTCAAATTAGATGTGAGGTGGCAAAGAGCAATCATTCTGGAATTCTCCACACTGCCCATGGCAGGCATCACTAATCCATCCTCACTGCCACCACCCTGGCCCAGTCTTAGGTTCTCTCACCAGACTATCGGTCGCAGCGGTTTCACCTTTGGCCTCTACCTCCATTCCAGACCCCTCCCAGTATCCACTCTGTAAGCCAGGGCTAGATTAATCTTCCTTAAATATACATTTGGAGTGTTTGATTCTGCCACTTCCTCACTGGGTTCCCCTGGTAAGTGTCTTCCTCTCACTGCACATGGTTATTTATTATCTCATTAATCTTGACAACAATCCTATATAATTTGGTCTGTAATTAACCCCTATTTTATAGAGGGTAAATATCTATAAATTGTAAGATAGTAAATATCTAGCACACCTATTGGCACCCCTCACTCCAACATCCCGGGCAGACATTAATAATTTATTATAGCCCTAGCTGGTTTGGCTCAGTGGATAGAGCATCAGACTGCAGACTGAAGGGTCCTGGGTTTAATTCCGGTCAAGGACACATGCCCGGGTTGCGCGGGGCATGCAGGAGGCAGTGGGTCAATGATTCTCTGTCATCATTGATGTTTCTATCTCTCCCTTTCCCTTCCTCCCTGAAAATCAATAAAAATATTATTTTAAAAATAATTTACTATTCCCTTCTTTCCCCCACTAAGTTTATATGTGGCCGCAAAATCAATCTATCGGTCCATCGGTGTGGACACACAGGTATAATCTCGTTAATGTCCTGGAAACTATCCTTAGCAGTTTCTCCTCCATTGCAGAGATGGAGTGAAAGGGCTGTGTATTTCCAAGGGCTCCTCTGCTCTTCCCATTCTGAGATGGGAGGGGGAGGAGGGGGAGAGCTGGGTTGAGGCCCCACAGACTCCACAGCCCAGCGCACAGTAGCAGCGGTCCCTGGATGAGCACAGCTGGCCCCTGACGCCTGCCTCTGCCCGGACAGGTACGGGAGGCGGACCTGAGCGACCAGTACGAGGCGGCCTGCGAGTCGGCCTGCAGCGAAGCAGAGTCCACGGCGGCAGAGGCGCTGGACCTGCCGCTGCCGAGCTACTTCCGCTCCCGCAGCCACAGCTACCTGCGCGCCATCCAGGCGGGCTGCTCGCAGGAGGAGGACAGTGTCTCCCTGCAGTCCCTCTCCCCACCACCCAGCACTAGTAGCCTCAGCAACAGTCGCACGCTTCCGAGTGAGTACCGAGTGGAGGGGAAGGGTTTTGTTTTGCTTTGTTTAGGGGAGGGGCAGCCAGTAGGAAATGCTGGGGAGGAATACACGGAGGGCTGGCCCGGATTGGAGAGATGATCAGGAGCAAAAGCAGGAGCCCTGGGGGCTGAACTACTCATCAGCTGGCGAATTGGTGCTCAAATGGGGGTCACAGAAGCAGATGCCAGCACTGGTGGCCCGGGTGAGGGGGCTGGGAAGTACAGCCCGTGGCTGTCAAGACCCTGGCTCAGAGGAGCCACCTACTGGTGGGATGGGCTCACTGAAGCTCCAGTTCAGTTATGCAAACCTGTGGGGAGGACAGGAATCTCCAGAGAAGGCTGAGCTTTCTGGGAGAGGATGGGATCTGCATTGAGCCTTCTCAAAAGGAGTGAGCTTGCAGGTTTCTCTCATGCTCACAATCAGGGACAAGCTACCCTTCCTGATACTTGTTCTAAATCCTCTGGAGATAACCCATGTAAGGGGTCAGGGTAAAAAGAGAACCCGTGTCACAGAGCAAGCCATGAAAATCAACGAAATCAAAACCCAAGGAAAATGATAGCACAGTATCTGGTTCCGTAGAGAGAGCTTTGAGCTTACTCTGGCTAGCTGGTTCTCTCCCAGAGCCCGTTTCCCGATCTATAAATAAATTGGGGCATAAGCCAGACCCTAGGGGGCTCTTGGGGAGATGAAACTAAGACTGGGTGTAAAAAGTGTTTATCGAGTCCTTGCACACCATAGGAGCTGACAAGTGGTAGCTGTTATCAGACTTGACTCTGAGCTTCCTAACAATGGAAGGCAACTGGTGTTGGATTGTTGTCAAAAGAGAGACAGCTGTTTCAAGTACTTAATTGGTGTTTGATGTTCGTAAATGAACCTGAATCCTGTGGATAGTCTATACACAGGAAACCAGCTTGTTGGCAGGAGGAACTTGTCTTTGCAGGTGGCAGAGCAAGAATCCACTTTGTTTACCTGTTGCCTGGGTGATATGTGGGCAGATCCTTGAGCTTTCCAGCCACTTTTAAACCTTAAGGAACAGTCTCATTTTCAGGTATCAAGAGCTCAAGTCTGGTCTCATTTCAGACTTGTCTACCTCTGCATCTCATGGTAGTCAGTGTCTTCTCTGTTCTTGTTCTGGTCCCTCCAGGTGGGAGGGCGAGATAGCTAGTGCAGGTGCCATATGCTGGCTCTTTCTCCTATGTGGAGCTTTTGGGATTTCTCCTATCTTGCAGAACCACATGGTGCCTTCTTGTCTGACATGAGCAATCTCCCTCCAGCCCACTGTTTCTTATTCCCCCTTAGCTTCTTTATCCAGAGGTCCCCCTCTTCCCCACTCAGCTTCTTCTTACTAGGGGGCCTGGCTCTGCCAGGCAGCCACTTGGGCAGAATTCTCTGAGGACAGTTCCAGCCCTGCTTTCTTTCTTGGTTCCCACATAACCCATGTGAAATGAGTCCTTTGCCTGCAGCACTCTGAAAGTATGGGTTGGTTTGCTATAGCCTTCCTTCTAAAACTGCTGCCACACACAGGTATTCCATTTTAGAGGTCTATAGGCAGGTGTTGAAGTTCTATGGCCTCCAAAATCCAGGGGATCCCTGCCAGGCTCTTCCAGTCCTCTACAGTCCCCTGAGGAGCCTCAGGGACATGATCAGATTTCCCACATCATCAGGCCCGTGAGAAATTCTCTAGGTACAAAGTGGGCCTTGGGGGGGGGGGGGGAGGCACATCTAGCACCTTAGCAATTTTCCTCAAAGAAACCCTCATTCACTAATCTCCCCTCACCCCAATCACTCATGAATGATCTGCGGATGGATGTTGGGCTACATGTCTCAGATCTGTTTGGGTTCCTATACTAGTTAGCTATTGCTAGAGTAGTACTATATAACAAACAACCACAAAATCAGTTTGATACAACAGTTAACATTTATTTCTTGCTCCCAAGTTTGTGAATTAACTGGGACAACTCTGCTTCTGGGGCCAAAGGGTCCTCCTGGGATCAGTGGCCTGCCCTGGGTATATTCTCATGGTGATGGCAGGAGCACCAGAGAGTAAACCTAGCTATACATGCATATTCCAAGGCCCCTGTTTGCATAATATTTGCTAAAATGATATTGGCTAAAGTAAGTCATATGACTGAGTTCAAAGACAAGGGATGGAGAAGTACTCTCCCACCTTTGTGTCGGAAACTGTATTTACATGGCAAAGGGTTTAGATATGGGGAGGAGTGAGGAATCAGGGTCAATAATTTAATCTCCTACAGCCTACTCTCTTGGCCATTAGAAAATATGTTTATCCTCAAGACCACCTCCCACCCACCCCCCAAGTTTCATCCAATAATAACATCAAGATCTCATGACTTATGTCAGGTCTGGATGTGACTCCACTTGGTTGAGTGACCTAAAACCTAAAGATACAGTTGTCCACCTCCTACCTGTAACTCTGCACACATCCAGCACACATTGGTGAAATAGAGACAAGATAACTGCAATTCACACTCCTGTTCACAAAAAAAGAGAAAAGGAATTCAGAGACTTACTGATCCATGGCAGTTCTGAAGGTCGTCTGGGCAAATGTTGGACGAATGCTCTAGGATAGGAAATTACCTTGATGAGGCCCAAGCTGTGCCACCGGGGGTTGACTCCCTAACGCACTGTTCTCAGCAGCTCCTGCTTCTGCTCTCTGAAAGCCCTTCCTGTTCTATTTGCCTTTTGGACCACTTGTTTTAAAAATAATAATAATAATAATAATAATAATAATAATTATATATATATATATATATATATATGTATTTTATTGATTTTTTGCAGAGAGGAAGGGAAAGGGCTAGAGAGTTAGAAATATCGATGAGAAAAACATCAATCAGCTGCCTCCTGCACATTCCCTACTGGGGATGTGCCCGCAACCAAGATACATGCCCTTGACCAAAATCAAACCTGGACCCTTCAGTCCGCAAGCTGCTGAGCTATCCACTGAGCCAAACCGGTTAGGGCTGGACCACTTCTGCAGAGAACATTGAAGAATGTGCTCTTTGGGCAGTTGAACAACTTTCTTAACCTGAAGTCCCTAAAGAGAGTTAGGGACCCAGGTGTCTTTTTACACCTAGAATGGTCTCAGTCCCTTCTGCCCAAGCTAATGGTAGTTTTGACTGCTCACCTACCTCAAACATGTTATGGGTTTTCTACGTATTTGATTTCACTTACCTCCTTGTGCCAATACCACACCCACAATTACTTTTGAGCCACGCCAGTCTCTCTAGATTCAATTATGACTACTTCGGTACATCAGGCCAACTCCTTTCAGCTTTCTGGAAGCCCTTTTGAGCAGCTGAGAGCATCTACTAGGGCATCTTATTATTCTGGAGTATTAATAAAAGATGTTACAACCACACCCGGGATTTTATCTGGGCCACACGCTGTATCTTAACTGGCCATCACCTTGGTGTGTTCTTTGTCCTTTGCCCTTGGTTTCATTTGTGTCTTAATTTGAGAATGACTTACTAGCAGGAGAGGCTGAGGTTAACACATTTCTTTTCCAACTCAGCAAGTTCTGGGCCCTCTATATCCCCTGCAAACACTCCTTAGTCCTTTTATGAATATTCTTTCTTATACAACTTTATCAAATGCACCCAAAGGGGCCAGCTTTTGCTTTCAACATTTTGCCTGAAAACTATCTTGCCCAAATCCATGTACTTTCTTCAGGTTACTATAGATTGACAGTTTTACCAAGCATTTCACCCCCACATGATATGGGTTACCTTTTTTCAAGCCTACCGTAATATTTTACCTACTACTTACCACTTGGTCTCAGAGCCAATGCTACATGCTTTTGTTGCTAACATTCCCTACTTCTGGTACCAATTTCTGTATCCATCAGCTATTATCACAATAATGCTTTGTAACAAATGCATGCCTTTTTTAGCGGCACACAGTAATACACATTTGTTCTCATTCATGAGTGTTCAAGCTGTCTGGTTCTGTTCTGCATGTCCTACGTCCTCCTCCCGGCACCAAAGGGTGCCCCTAGAATCACTACCCTAGCCAGGGCATGCTCTTGTCATGGTGGTGGCAGAAGTATAAAAGAGAAAACCCCACTCTGCAAGTATATTTCAACTCTCTTTCACATCTACTCATATTTGGTTGGTTAAAGTAACTCATATGAGTCCAAGGCCAAGGTCCAGGGAAATATATCCCATCTTTTGTGGGAGAAGCTGCAGTTACATAGCAAAAGGTATGAATTCTGGAAAGGATGAGAATTGAGGTCAAAATTTCAATCAGTCATAGCCCGCCCCCTCAGCACAGCCCTCATGGATGACTCAGCATCTGGCTTTAAATATAGTGATGTGGAGCTTTGATTATTCTCATTTGGGGCTTTAGCGCAAACCAAAACACTCAAAAAAAAGTATCATGTAGCAACATCTTACATCTACTCAGACATGTGTGCACATGTGCACCTACTTGCAGGCATATATAGAGTTTTGTACCCTTAGACCACTATATGATATAAAAGTGCAAATAAAAACACATGCACACTGATATTCTCACATGTACACATAATATCTACATATCTCTACATACATCTGCACACACATACATGTGTGTCTCCAAGGCTCATGCCACCTTCTCACCCAGTGGACATCATGCCTCTAGCAGATTTGAGCCACCAAATAATTTCACCACCCACTTCCCTGATCAGCCCTCCCTCCAGGTCTCCACAGTGGCTCCTCTCTCCTCCACCCTGCAATCCCCTCATGCTCACAAAACTCATCTCCCTCACCAGGAAAACCAAAGCCACCATGTTTTCTGTGCCCGGAGCTGCAGCTGGTCCATATGGTACCTTTGTGTGCTGGGTTAGGACAGAGTGCCCCCACCACCACTACCACCAGACACTTAACTGCCATTTCTTAAAAACTTGTCACGATGTACTTTTTTTTTTTTTTTTCAGAATAAGACCCATTAATGCCATCTGCTAGAAATGTGTCATAATCAGTATGT